CTGGTTGGTTCAAGAGCGAATATATTCGCACATAGAAAATAACTGCATTTGTTTGGGCCGAGAAGAAGCGCGAGTTTGCTCGACCATTTCGATTTCGAAACTGAGAGTACAAGTGCAAGTTAATTCAGACTTAATCACCATACAGTAAGAAATTGAGGGGCCTGATTGGTTTAAGAGCGAATAAATTCGCACTTGGAGAAAGTTAGCGCAGCGATGGTCAGTGATGGCGAGCGATGGAGAAAGATGGCGCACCAATGGAAAAATTTGGCACATTGATGGTTAGCTATGCCGCAACAATGAAGAGAGATGGCGCACGAGCGCCTCATATCTTACAGTTGCAAGCATATTGATTCCTAACTAATGATCTAGCCTATTAAACACCATCATGTAATTCAAGATTAACCAAGATTACTTATTAAACAACATCATTTAATGCCTGACTAATGTTTATTTAGATATAATGCATCAGGGATCAATTCAAAATTAGCTTAATCAAAGTTAAATCCATCGTGCTAAACCTTCATTAGGCATACCTGACGATTGTTTCGTACCATTCCACAATGATGGACGACTACATAGACCGCGGACTACCAATGACAATACAATGGAGAACTGGAATGGTGGTGAACGATCGCTGCTCAACGATGGTACAACGGTCGATGATCAACGATGGCGCAACTATGGTCCGCGATGGCACACCAATGGAGATAGATGGTGCAACGATGAAGAGGGATCATGCAGGAGCGATGAAGAGAGATGGTGCAGCGATGGAGAGAGATGGTGCAGGATGGCGCAACGATGGAGAGAGATGGCGCATGAGCGATGGAGAGGGATGGAGAGAGATCATGCAGAAGCGATGGAGAGAGATGGAGAAAGATGGCGCGACGATGGAGAAGAGGTCGCACAGGAGCGATGGAGAGAGATGACGCAACGATGGAGAGAGTCCAGTGATAGTGAGAGATCTCACAACGATGGAGAGTGATCATGCAGAATGAAGAAGAGATCGAGCAGCGATGGAGAAGAGATTGCGTAGGAGCGATGGCGAGAGATGGCGCAGCGATGCAGAGAGATCGCGCATCCATGGAGAGAGTCCAGTGATGGAGAGAGATCGTGCAACTGTGGAGAGTGATCACGCAGCAATGGAGAGAGATCGTGCAGCGACGGAGAGAAATTGTGCAACGATGGAGAGAGTCCACAATGGAGAAAGATGACGCGGAGATGGTGAGAGATCGCGCAGGAGTGATGGAGAGAGATGGCGCAGCGATGAAGAGAGATGGTGCAGGAGTTGGCCCAGTGATGGTTAGCAACAGCGCACCGATGGAGAGAGATGGCGCACATATGGAGATAGACGGAGAAAGATGGCGCACCGATGGAGAGAGATGGTGCAATGATGAGAAAGATGGTGCATTGATGGAAGGGATAACAATGACCAGCACTACGATGGCAGCGATAGCGATGACAAGCACTGCGATGGGAGCGAGAGCGATTGCCAGCGTTGTTATGAGAGCAGTAGCGATGGCCATCGCTGCGATGGAGGATATAGCAATGAGGAGAGCTAAGATCCGAGTCGATGGTGATGACGAGCGGTGGAATGGATGCGATTTCGTTCGCAAGCGCAACGATGGAAGGTGAATATGCGGCTGCAGGAGTGGGAGCGCAGGAGCGATTATGGACGTCCATATCCACCGCCGTTGACATTTGCAAAATGTTAGATGAATGTCAAACCAGATTTTATAGGTTTCCAGTGTTGACCTCGACGCTCAACGAACCGCCGCGCTGGGTGTTGAGACCGTTCGGATTTGTGCCTAGGCGCACAACGAACAATCGCGCCTGGCCTCGACGTGCAACAAACCGTTGCGCAGGGATTACTGTGCCTGACCTTGGGGGGGTAACGAAGCTCCAATTTGTACGTCGGATCATGACGATCGATGGTCGAGAGTAGAACAGTGAAAATGACCTAGATTGTCCCTTATTTTCTGGAAGTGTCATATCAATGCACGCCGGAGTTTGCGAAAATTTTAGGGCCTCTGGCATGCCAGTGGCTTCGTTAATCTGCGCCGTTGAATTTTGTGGATCGACGGTCAACAATTTCTGGTACCTCTGACCTTTCGAGGTTCAACCCGTCTTTACCGTCTTATAGGCCCTGGTGTGCGATATGTGAACAACCGCCGAATCGACACGCCCTCTCGGCACCCTCCTTGATCTCGACGCGAGGCCTGCTACTGGAGAGTTCCTCTGGGTGGAAAAGTATAAAAGGCGTTGCCGCCCTCGTTTTATCCCTTTTGTTGTTTGGCAACTCCATAGGTCAAGTCGCGCTATTGCTACCACACGCGTTCTGATATCGTCTTCACCCACCATCTCCTTCCGGCATAGCCGGTTCGCTCTTCGTAGCTCGATTTCCTTTCGTCATAGACGGTTCGCTCTTCGTAGCTCGATTTTTGTCTGCCATAGCTAGTTCGCTCGGCGTACATCCATATCCGTCCGGCGTTGTTCGTTCACGCAACGCGCGACGAAGGTCAGATGCTATTTCAACTGTCCTAATCTGTGTCCGATGTCCAAACAGATTCCCAGATGCTCTGTCTGTACCTGCATGTTATAACGCCGCACTGCCGCATGTTGAACCTCGAATCATTTCTCGGGTTTGTTGTTTGGCAGCTCCACAGGTCAAGTCGCGCTATCGCCACCGCGTGCGTTCCGATATCTTTTCTTCACCCTCCACCTCCATCTGCCATAGTCGATTCGCGCTTCGTAGCTCGATTTCCTTTCGCCATAGCTGAACCTGCACACTATAAAGCTGCCATGATATTGTTTGTATATATATATACAAGGGGAGCCGCCGCGGCAGAGTAGGAGGCAGGAGGAAGAAGCGGTGGATGTGAGGGATGTGTCCACAACCCCCATATTCACCCACCGAGCCTCCCTCGTCCATGTCTCCATGTCACCTTCCCCCCCCCCCCTCC